AAACAAAACATTCCCCAAATATGTATTACCCTTCTTGATTTCATTCTCTGTTGTTTACCTTTCCGGAAGCTTTTTCAAAAGCCGAAACCATTTCTAACACAGACGTTCCTCGACCAGTCCCAAGATTGTAAGCAGTACAGCCTGATAATTACAAACAACATATGATTTGAGTATATAATCCATAAGACTCAAACTAAACTCTTTTAACAGTTGATTGTCTACGAGAGGTTACCAATCTTTGGATCAGTAAATAGCTTCCTCAGCGCAGCGATATGTCCATCTGCCAAATCCATCACATGGATGTAGTCTCTGACCTGTTTCAAACATCCTTTTAACTTTCTGAAATGATCATCCTTTTCGGCTTTGCATCTAAAACTAGCTTTTTGATCTACCATCAGAATTCTGAAACAAACTAAATGAGAGACTTTGGGATCTGATTTGGATTTACCGCACTGCCATCCTTAGTAGGGTAGTCATCTCCATAGACATTGAGCTCAGGTAAACGTCCAACGGCCACTTGTTGGATGTAAGGCATGAGATTATTGGGGATTCCCTTTGGATCCTCACCAATTCTGCCACTCTCATGTGCTCCCACAGGATTGAAGTACCTCAGCAGAACGATTCTCCATTCTGGTTCCGCCGCGTGAATATCTCTGGCTATTTCTTCAAGGAAGAGCTGCACAAGAGAGAGGTTGTGAACACACAGTTAATTTCAAGAATTGAGGATTGTTATCTTTGTTAGGCTTAAGAAAGGCTTCTTGGCTCAGGGAAGGTTTGGAGAACTTTAAAGATATCAATCACAACCAAGCCAAGGTATCAGTCCAAAGGTATTTTGGGATTAGAAACACGCGCAATTCAGATGTGCTCAAGAGTTAAAGTTACCTTAGTACGACCATAAGGATTCATAGCCTTTAGTTCAAAGTCCTCCATGCATGGGATTGTTTCAGGTTGTCCATAAACAGTAGCAGATGATGAAAACACCATCTGTATATTCCAACAACACACCAATTTTGATGAGGACATCAGGCCATCAAGTCATCATCAAATTTGCATCCCCAACCAATGTAAAATCAAAGAAGAAACAAAAATCAGTTCTAAAGTTGTAGAATCCTATCTAACCATTTTGCAGTTGTACTTTGCCATGGTCTCATATAGATTGATTGTTCCAACCAAGTTATTGTCAAAGTAGCGACGCGGGTTTGCAACACTTTCACCCACAGCTTTAAGACCCGCAAAATGGATCACAGCATCAAATCTGTTACCTCACAAGAGAACGAAATCAAGCCAAGGGCCAAAGATCCAGAAAACTTGTCAACTCTAAAAAATTTGCAAACTTTGAAGGTAAAAAATCTAACAATAACACACCTCTGTTTGGAGAAGAGTTTCTCGATATCCCCTTTGTTTCTTAGATCACCCTATAATCAAATCAACACCGAATTCGTATCAATCTCCACAGAATGCAATCAATCCAACAAGCAATTGAATTTAAGGAAACAACTACAATAGATAACAGATAAAGGCTAAAGTTGTTCTGATTTTCTTGTGAACCAAACAGAGAAAATGATGCAAGAAACTCAGATTCTTTGCTTGTTTTACATACGAGTATAGTAAAGAGACCAAACTCAAGCTGGGCTCTAACAAGATCCAACGCACACCAAATCAAGCATGCAAACAAAGCAGAACTACACCAAATCGAAGTTTGAGCAAACTTTTCCAGAGATCGAGCAATCATTAAAACACTTCAAAACGACATGTACGTAAACATCGTTTAAGTCCAGAACTTTATTCAAGAATCCAATTTCCATTTCCAGAGAGCCAAAAACCGATTTCATACTCACGAAAGCAACAAGTTCATCAGATTTTCTCGGAGAGGAAAACAAACACGCAGAATAGACAGAGAAGAAGTACACTTACTTCATTAAACTCGAGCTTCTTGGAGAGATCAGGACCAACAAGCTCCCTAACCCTGTCAACCGCTTCGATAACAGAGTTATCAAGATTATCGATGATCGAAACCTTAAAACCCTCTTTCAGAAGTTGAACAACAGTATGCGTCCCGATGAATCCAGCACCGCCAGTAACAAGAATGTTCTGCTCCACAGAAGAACCCATTTTCCAAGAACTCC